TGCTGCTGCTGCTGCTGCTGCTGTTCCTCCAGCATTGCTGACCGGGACCCTCTCACCGTGCAGATCACACTCGCCGCCTCGCCAACTCCACCGCCTACGTGGCTCTCGGCTCCTCCATCTCCATCATCTCTCCCTGCCTCACCACCGCTACACCTTCACCTCTCGTCCTGGCCCCGCTCGCCTTCAACGCGTATCGCAGGCACGCTCACTAGGTGCTTACCTTCCCGAGATACTTGGTGGACACGCTACGCTCACACGCACTTCATCTCGCCCATCACCAACTTATGATACCGATCGTCTCACCATCCGAAGCAACCGGAGCTGTCTCTTTTGCTCGCCGTTACGCCTAACACGCCCCGGCCCGCCTTCATTTCACGCTTCATCCCATCGGCATCGTCTAATTATACAATCAGCCTCTGCTTGCCCCACGCCCACAAACAGTCACCCCACATCGCCTAGTGGCGCCGCCTTTCATCCTCTCTCGCCCCGGCAGCCCGACTCGGCGCTTAGCACTGTCCCACATTTGGCCCAGACGACCAGCACAGCCTTGCATCTCGCACCACTCGCTCGTTCACCCCGTTCATTCGGCATCTGCATCTGTCCTGCATCGTCTGTCCAACCCGTCACGCCTCAGCCAACTCTCCTCCACCACTCGGGACAATCCCTCCTTATCAGCTTCCTTCTTTTTGGAAGCGTCGCTCGGCATCACCCACGAGAGAGTCGCTCGACAGCCACTGGGTGCCTTTGCCTCACGCCACACCTCGTCCACCGCATCGAGCGCAGCGCGCCAAGCCGCAGTGAAGCGTCTTTGAGAGCCAATGTCATCCTGCACCAGCAGCGACAGTTGAACTGCCAACCTCCAGCACTCGGTGGTTTGAAGTCACCATCACCGCCGCCGCACCAATCGGACGCCATAATCCCTCGCTTTGCATTCGAATACCCACCACACGAGCTGTTTGGTTGCGTCTATCATCGCATCTTTCCATCATTAGCGTTTCCGAGACACCCAAGGAAGCCGCTTCTTGCCATCTCAACCGCACTCGCCTACCGCCTTGCTTGCTGAGCCAGAGGGGCTGGCCAGCGTCGCCCTGCACCATTCTGTCGACGTGCAGAGCCATGGGGCCGAGCGGCACGAGAACGGGGATCCCATTCCCCGGTGCCGCCAGCGCCAGCGGCACCACTTCATCGTCCAGGGACAGATCCGTCCCGCGCTCGGCCGCAGACTCGGCATCCGAGGCTGGCGAGGCCATCGACAACCGAGACATGGAAGTCGATACCGAACCGTCTGCCAAGCGCTCCAATCCGGCGGGCGCGGAAGCGTCCACCAGCCTTCCCAGCATCAAGAATCTCTTCGGCATTGAGCGAGCAGAGCCGCTGGCATCGGTTCGACGATCCGATGGACTCTCCGAAGATGGACATTCGCTCGGCACCGCAACACCTAGTTCGCCAGCAGGAGTGCCCCCAGCAGCCTCTTCGCAGTCGCTCGATCAACGCGGCTCGCGCGGTCACGCCAGCACCAACAGCTTCTCCGAATTCCAGTCCGGCCTCTCACACAGCTCCAGCTCATCGTCGCTTGGGCCGATCCGCACCAGGCACTCTTCCAACACTGGGGCTGGGTCTTACGGACGCAGTGGTCCGCTTGTGCCCAGCACACCTCCTCGTCATCCCGGCTCCTCGATACATCCATTCAGTCCCGAAGATGGCGGATCACGCCGACGAGTCGATTCGCGGTCGCGTCAGGCACAAGCGCTCAAGGGCCTCATCCTTTCTCCGCCCTCGCGCCGGGCTCCACTGGATGGCGAGGGCCCAAGTTCCGACATGTCTGCGCCAGCGCAACGGCGCAGCGGCCATCGTCCTGCATCATCCTCGTCGGGCTCACTCTCCACCTTGTTCTCGCACATCTCGACCGCTTCCGACCCTTCGCCCATGCTGCCGCCTGGCTACGTGCCTTCGGCACACACGTCGGAGGAGAGCGTGCCTCACGAGGGCTGGGGCGCGGCGAGCGCACGGTCCGAGACCACCAGTCCACGCACCAGCTGGCACAGTCGTTCTTCCACGCTCGAGTCAGGCGAGGCCGCCTACAAGATGATGGGTGGCGACCGACCGTCGGGCTCGCTCCTGCCGCCTTTCCGCGAAGCTCACGGTCAACAGGGCGAGTCTTCGCGCTTCTCGCCTGAGCAGCACTTCTCCAGCCTGTCGCGTCACCGATCCCTGCGCACGCCAGGAAGCTCTGCCGATCTGCCCGGACCGCCGCATCAGCCGCCGCATCGACCGCGCGCGCGCACCCTCACACACACCGACCGTCCGATTGCGCCGCTCCCGAATTCGGACGACCCGGCCCGCAGGCAAAGGCTCGAGGCGGCGTCCGAGCTGCTGCGTATGGGCCAACAGCGCGGGGACGAGCCTGCCAACGCGGGAGGCGGGCGAATGTACTCGCATAAGCACAGCCTCTCGATGCAGGAGCGTGCGCCGCTTCCGATGGAGCTCTACGAAAATCCAAGCGTCACGCGTGGCCATCGGCCCAAGTCTCACTCAATGTCGGGGCAGGAGCCCTACGATCCTGAGATGCAGGCGCACTATGGCCCGCCGGGAATGTCGGCGCCTGGCATGGGCGCGCCGCCTTTCGAGCGAGGCGGCCCACCGCCGGGTCCGGGCGCGTTCGACTCGTTCCATCCAAGGCGAGGTCGTGGCGCTGGCGATGAGGCACCACGTCCAGGCGGTGCCGGTTGGGTCTTTCCGCGTCGTCCGATGCCGTCGGAAGCCGAGGCGCAGCGCAATGCTTTCCAGCAGCAGATGATGCGCGGCCAAAGCCTGGCTAGCGTGCCAGACGGCATCATCTCTGCGCAGCATGGCGGCGCATTCGGCGGCGTGCGGGCGGCGCCGAGCACGACGGGAACCATCGCGTCGGGCCAGGCCAAGTACGAGTGTGCGTGGTGCGGCAAGCGCTTCTCGAGACCGTCGAGCCTCAAGATCCACCATCACTCGCACACGGGTGAAAAGCCGTTCGTCTGCAACGAGCCGGGGTGTGGCCGCTCGTTCAGCGTGCAGTCGAATCTGCGGCGTCACCAGAAATGCCACGCGCCCGGCGGCGACCAGTCCGAGATGGACGCTTCGCGGCAACAGCAAGGACCGATGCACGGTCGTGGCGACGAAGCATACTGGGCGCGCGGTCCTCCTCCGCCGGCAGCCTCGGGCTCGAGGATGAGCCCGATTGGCGGCGGCAACGCTGGTTGGCATCCCATGTACGGCCCGGGACCCGCTCACGGCCACGGCCCGCCTCCGCCGCAATCGCTGCCGCACGGACATGCCTACGGCGGTGGCCACCCGCCTCCGGGTGCACCGGGCGGACCGATGCCGATGCAGATGGCGATGCAAATGCCCATGCACATGCAGATGCAGGTCAAGGATCATCCGCCGCTTTCGCGATCGGCGTACGAACCGGGATCGCGCAGCATGAACACGTGGACCGAGCTGCGGCGCGAGATGGGCCCGCCCGGATACATGCGCGAGTACGATCGTGGAGCGGGCCCCGAGGCGTACGACGTGGCACGGTCGCCGCGTCGATTCACACAGATGCAGGACCGCCGGCT